AACCCGTCCCACGAAACGAGGATTTGCGCGTGTGTGTGTGTGCCGACATGGGGGAAACAAAAACAGATGGTTTGGTTTCCCTACAGACCACCTCAAGAAGGAGCACTTACCTTGACAAGGCGTTTTTGCCAAAACAGGAAATTCCAAAATGGCCCTTTAAACCCAATCGGCTTGCTTTGAAAAATACGTCTGAGGAGTATTTTCTCTTTGCGCTGGAAACACAATCCGCACAAGGAGGGTTTACTTTGAAAAAACCAAAGAGGGTTTTCTGCGCACCTGAAAACGGCTGGCTTTTCTGTAGGCCAACTCAAAAAAATTGGTTTACCTGTGTGCAGAAATAGGGAGGTTTACCACACCAATCTCTGGCTCCGCACGCTCCTCGACAGGGCGGCGGAGTGCTGGATCCTGCGGCGCAGTTGAAGATTGTGGACTTCACAGGGAGGGCTGGGGCTGAGAAGTTGGCCAACGCAGCCGGATCGGGGCAAGTGGACGCAAAGCAGGGCAAAGGGGGAAAGCCGAAAAAGGAAAAAGGGGAGAGCGGATCTGTCCCAAAACAGGTGCGTTTTTTGTGTTTTCAGGTCCGCAAGGATTGCCCCGCCCAGCCAGGTGATCCCAGAGACTCCACTGTCTAAAGCGCAAGCCCTGCTGACTGGCGTGCTTAAGATCGTCAACGAGTGTAGGTCAGCCACCCAGGTCCTTGTTGTTCTTGTCGTTGGCGCCAATGAAAGCCGCTTCCCGCCTAGGAACCACGCATTCCGGCTACAGCCGCTGAAAATGAGCTCAGATTTGATCAGCCAGCTCTTGGCTGTTGGGGTGAAATTGGAATCCCTGGCAAATCAGCTTCAAGAAAACATCAAGAAGGGCAAGGACAAGAACCGCTACTACGTTACCATTTTTACGGAGGCCTTGATTTGACATGGAATGTGTTTTTGCCAGCGCTCGGCTTTGCCAGGTTGACAAGTATTCGCGGATGGCTCGTGAGCGAATAGAGCTGGGCAAGGCTTTGGTGCGGGCGGCCGAGAAGGCTGCGAACCCCAAGGCTAAGCCTGCTGCCAAACCAGCAAAGAATGCCACAGGCGAGCCAGCCTAAGTGGCTCGAGGCAGCGATGTCGATAGATGTGGTCAGTTTAAAGGCGCTTCAGATTTGGGGTCTACCTTCACTGCGTTTTGTTGAAACCATAGTCTTGAAACATGCAAATAGTTTGGTTGAGGGGTTGCAGTGAAGGCTCAGCGCCCAGTTGGCTGTCACTCGACTCTCAATTGCAAGAGAACCACGGGCCGAAAAAGAGTGTGAAAGTTTGCAGTGACCATCCACCCGACAAGCAAGCTTTCCAGCTCGCCTCCCCTTCGCAGGGACGCTCCAAGATCTCGCTCGCGATCCCGATCCCGGTCAAGAGCCAGACCAGCGCGAGGAGGCATGGAGCGAGTTCTCCAACCTGACAGCAATTGAAAAGCCACCGCTAGGATCTCGTCTCCGTCCCCCTCGCCATCTTCGAGGCAGGTCATTCGTTTCGCGTTAACAATCGAAACTGTTCTCTGCGTGCCAGGTAGGGAGCTCGTTGATGCTGGAAGCGGCTCTGCCAAAAGGATTTTCAAGAAGATGTGCACAGGGGCCAGGGTTCCAAAAGAGTTCCACTTTGAGATGCCAACACGTGACGCCAAGATAGTTGGCTCCGTGCTGTCAAATCCCGCTCGCTCTTTTCGAACAAGTCACAAAGCAAACACTTGCACCCTTTTGCGAGGACACGGAGACATGTGTTCCGACCCCCCCCTTTACCCACCAGCCGCCCTGCAAGGCGACATCAGTGAGTGATGGCTGCAATGAAGCTGCTCAACTTCTGAAAGATGGCTATATATGCCCTCTGGCGCAGCTTCTAGCTTCTTGGGGTTCAACAAGCCACGGCGAACGGTCTTTTCAGCAGACTCTTCCTCGTCACTAGCAATGATGTTTTGTTTTTGATTTCAGGGTAAATATCATTTTCAAAGTTGAGCTGATGCTTCGTCAGGTGGTGTCGCATGAATTGCGAAATTCAACCTGCTGTCGCCCCACTCTCTCTGGCTGGCGGCAAGAATGATATTGGTGTCATTTGGCCATGGGATATTCTGCATTGGCTCTGGCAATCAAAGGGTGACCAAGCTTTCGCAGAATGGGTTCATGATCCCCCAAGAGAAGCAAATTCAAGAATCAAGGAGTATTGGGAGAATTTGTCCCACATGCCCTTCTACGAGGATCTTGGCCTAACAGACCCTGCTTCTACAATACCAATTTCTTGGCACGTCGACGGGGTAAAAGTGTACAAGACCCAGAAGGCCTGGGTGTATTCCTTTTCCAGCAGTATTCGAAAGGGCCCCAGTTTGCAAACAAAGTTGCTGTTTTTACTTTTCCGGGATTCCCAAATGCACAAGCCGTTCACCCACGACGACGTGGCCGATTACATTGCCTACGCTATGCGAGTTTTGCAATCCGGAGTTTTCCCTTCAGTGGATTTTGACGGGCGCCCCTTTGAGCCGAGTAGCAAGGGGGCAGCCCGTGCTGGCCAAGCAATCGCAGGAGGATGGCGCTTCGCCTTCTCCGCGTTCAAAGCGGACCTCGAAGCACGTGTTATGGTTCACAAGTATGTTCGAAACTGGTCATCGCACTCAATCTGTGAACATTGTTTGGCCTCGAAACTTCCAGCTTTTGGGTACGGGGACTTTAGCAACAACGCTGCCTACTTTGAATGCATGCTGTCTCACAGGGAGTTCCTGATGTTGAACCCCCCTACAAAGCAGAGCTCCTGGATCAAGGTGAGGGGGTGGCACAAAGATCGCAACGTTGAAGACCCTAGTCTCATCGCGTGGCATATGTTTTTCTTAACCACTTATCGCATAAATAACTGCGTTCGCAGCCTGTGTGTGTGTGTCATTTCTGGGCTAGCCCTGGTAATTTCTAAGGACATGCTTCATTGTGTTCATCAAGGAGTTGCTCCAATTGCGATTGCTTCCTTAGTGACTCACCACTATGAGGACGCTGTGCCTGGCCTCACCTTGGAAGGCCTCTCCCAGCTGCTTCAGACAGAAGCTTTTTCTCATTACAAAGACTGGTGCCGCAATCGGAGATTGCCGCGCAGCAGCAGCACATTTACATGCGTGAAGTTTGGAAGGGAATCCTGGCAGACTTACCCGGAGCTCGCTTCTTGCTACAAGGGCGCAATGGTGAAACACATGATCTATTGGGCTGCCACATTTTTGTTTGAATGCACGCGAGAGAATGACACTCCGCAATCCCGCTTGCGAGCCTACACTGCTTTCGCGCTTGCCCAATTCCAGTTTCTGCAAGACTGCAACGGCCCGTGGTTCACCCCTGAGACAGCCGAGGAGGTTTGCTATTTCGGGAGGACCTTCCTTCTTCTCTACCAAAAATCAACAGTGGAGGGTCGAGCTGCTTTTCCTTCGAGAAAGATGTACAAACTTGTTCCGAAGTTTCACAGCCTGCTTCACATGTGCCTAGCGGTGCGCAGCACAAGGCGTAACCCTAGGCACGAGCACCTTTACATGGAAGAGGATTATATGAAACACATATCCAAGATTTGCAGTCGGTGTCATCCGTCCACAATGGACAAGGTTTGTCTCTTTCGGTACCGAGCCTTTTTGGAGTTCTGCAGCTAAGGGTCCCGGCCCGTAGCCCCGCCCAGCGTGCCACAAATGCAGCGCGCAGCCGCCCGTGCATTTCAACACTGCTTTGCCCTGACTGGCTTTGACTTTGCAAAGTAACACCTGTGCAATCTTTTGCTTCGAGCCTTGAGCCTTTCAGATTGATCTGCCAGCGTCTGCGACTTGGGTAAACGATGGCCCCAATCTTGGCCCCTGCAAATGGATTGTTTTCGTGGGAAGTGCTTTCAACAGTGCAACTTTAAGCCCCCCTGTCTTGGGTTTTGCAAACCCGTTCTTCGTGGGTAGATGCTTCGACAAGCTTCGGTCGCTTCAAACTTTGCCTATTTTTCATTGGGATTCAAGCAGATAAGGTTAAACGATAGGGAAGGGGTATCTTTAAGGGCAAAACTGTTTCCCCCAAGCCGGTCTTTCGTCAACCATTTTTCCCCAACAGCTGAAAGCTTTGGGGTCTCAGCCCAGATAGGCTCCGGGGTGGTCCGAGGCGGGTCTGGGGAAAGGTACAAGGGTTCCACCAGGGTTCCACCAGGTTCCATCAGGGTTCCACCAAGGTTCCACCATGGTTCCGCCAGGGTTTCACCAGTTCTGACAAGGGCTGCGGGGTGGTCCGGGGTGGTTTTGAGGTATCACCTGAGCTTATTTCCTGGGTAAGTGTTCATGATAGTCCTTTCTCTTCCACAAAGGAACCAACGTGTACGGTTATTGCTTGGGGTCGATCCTTGCCCCTATCATCACTATCATCAATCCACATGTGGTAGCGGAGCTGGGTTTTCTACAATAGGACGTGTCGTCAGATGTGCTTCACCCGCACGACAACAAAAACCATGAATGTGTCAAAAAGCCACATCCGTGCTCTTCAGCGTGCGAACATGCGCTTTACACAACTTCTGGTTCTGCAGGCAGTGGAGTTACATTTGATGTTCATCTGACGACCGAATCCGGCGGGCTCGATTGGAGAGCCTCATGGCCCAACGACGGAAATATTTTTGGTATGGATTTTGCCGCATGGATGCCAGGGCCACCCGCCCCGTCATCTTTCCCGCAATTCCAAAGCCCAAAACGGGCTGCTGGAAGCGATGAATTCATGCTACCTTTATCGATTGAGAATCTCAATCCTGACGTGGCCAGCCGTAACGTCAGGCCAAGGCCGTCGGTGAACCCGACCATGAGGAACATGTCCCCTCCCCCAGGACTTTCAGGATTTGAGAGCCCTAGGGAGCGTAATATCGTAGATAGATTGGATCTGCATCCCAGTCCGACCCCGAGCAAACGATCAAGGTCAAATTCGACTGGATCGCATAGGGCAAGGGGGATGGATCGGGAAACCGCCCACAGGGGTAACCCCAGTGCGCGGGACTCAGGACGCGGTCGATCAGGTGATCCAGCGTCAATCATTGGTAGAGATCCGCTAAACGCGGACACGCTCGTTAACGTGCTTGATGGAATCGAGGCATTCCAGGAGGAATTTAATAGGTCGAGTGGCATGAGCGCACAAGGTGTTCGCCCTACGCCCAACGCGGCTTCCATTTTCGCCCTAGACGACATGGACGGAGCTAATGTTCCGATAGAATCTGAATCCATGATGGCATCAAGTTCTAGTCGCAATCATACCATCAGTAATGCGACTGATATTGAATCGATGTCTGAGTCTAGAGTGTCCAATGCGACCGACTTGAATGACATTGTCATTGCTGACTCGAGACCTGATGTTCCTATGCGAATGGATAGGCCTGTTGTTCCTAAACTGCCCGTGGCCAAAGGCCTGGGCATGACACAACCCTCTACGGTTCGTGATGCTAGGAGATCTGCTCCGTATCAGAGTCAATCTCCTAATCGGAGTGAGTTCCCACGGCCATCAATGGCCGTGCAGGATGATTTCAGAACTCCTCCGAGATCTAATCCAATCATGGTTGATTTATCCACTCCTCGAGATCGCGGATCAGGATTTGGTCCTACAAGTGAGGAGCAACCCAACGAGGTTGCTGATCTTGTAACAGCCCTTGAAAGAGGGAGAGTGGACTCTTCGGTAAGTGCGATTATTCATCGCCTGGTCGCTAAGGTCGAAGACCTTGGGCGTAGGAATGATAGAAGTGATCAATGCATCGAACAGCTCTCCACTGAGGTTAACTCGTGGAGGGCCAAATACGACCAATGCGTCCATGTGAATAGCACGTGTACGCAGGCTGCGAACGCGGCCATGCAGCTGTCACAAGGGACTAAGGACATCGTGACCGAGCTTGGCCAACGCGTCAAGATCGTTTCCAATCGCATGATAAGCATAGGCGATGCCCTAAATGAGCGAGCCAGCTATGATGATGTTGCTCGCTCCATCACCCAAGTTCAAACTGTTTTTGAATCTCTTTCTGATCGAGTAACCGGGCTTATAGCTCGTGTTGATATGATCGAGAGATCTCTAGTGGAGAGCCAATCCAACCATCC